TTTGTTCTAGAATTGTGCAAACATATTTGCCTTGTGAGGTTTTTCTTGTAAGTTTGCAAATTTGTATTTCTCTTTAAGAAAAGAGTGTTCTCAATAATTGGGGTATATTCTTGAGGGAGTTGTAAGGTTATCTCTTTGGCCTCAAAAGAAATAACAAATTAGTGAATTTGTTGGAAAATCCTTAGTGTGGATAGCTAAGGTAGTGGACGTAGACTTTGGTTGATAAAGTCGAACCACTCTAAATCGCTGTGCAATTTCTTTCAATTTTCTGCAAAAGCTTCCACCAAAATTTTTATTGCCAATTCACCCCCTCTTGGCCGATTCCGTCAATCGATTAACTCAACAATGGTCATGAGGCAAAGATTTGTTACTCTATCTTTATCACTAAATTGTCCTCATCACTCCAAGCAGCCACAAAGTTCTTATTTTTTTCTTGATCTATTCTTATTTAAGAGAGGACAAACATACTTGACATGTCTCTTTCTTTGACATTAAAAAAGCCAAAAACCCTTGTTTTTACTCGATTCATATTTCTCATATTTTTCTTTGGAAGTCATGAATCGCTTGAATCTTTTGAAGAGTTTGACAATCTCTTCTTCATCATTCATCTCTTCACTTGAATCTTGATTACTCTCATTGATGGACTTGAAGGCGATTCTTACTCTCATATTCATGTCATTCTCTTTCTCTTTTGGTTTTCTTTGGAGTCTTATCTCATGGGTGAGCAATAATCCAATAAGTTCATCAAGAGTGAGCATCTCATGACATTCGTAAGAAATAGAGTGTCTTTCTCACTACTTCGTTGGGATAAACTTTTCAAAAAATTTAAACTCATTGATGATGTAAGTGAATCAATCGAAGAACATCTTTATGTTTCATCGAACTTTTCATCTTGAAGTTCTCATAGTTGAGAGTGAGAATATCAATCTTAGACTTCTTCACTTAGTTAATCTCTTCGTGTCACCTTCAACTAGTCATAAATATCCTTAGCATGCAAAAAAGATAGTTTACGATATTCGTTCGAGCCAATAGCACAAAAGATGGTTATTGTTTTGGCATTGAGTTGGACATGCTTCTTATCTTCATTTGTTCATTATGATCTAAGCTTCCTATCTTCACTTGTTCATTTTGACTTACTCCTTGAAAGGGTAGGAGAACCATCAGTAAAGACATCCCAAACCCGAAAGTTCGGTGACTTGAATGAACATGATTATATTATTCTAATAGGAGTAGTTGAGACCATTGAAGTAGGGAGACCTTGTGATAGAGTGAGAATACTCAAGGTAGTACCAACGGAGGTCAAAGTCATCTTCACAATTGAGTCGAAATTGATAGAGCTCTTCAAGGATCATCTCAAAGTTATTAAACCTTCTTATGAGTTAAACTAACTATGATACTAATTGTTAGGATTTTTTTAGGCTCTAAAAATTAATAGAAAAAGTGCCAAGAGGGAGTGAAACCTTTTGAAAATTTTGGGTGTGTAAATAAAAATGATAGAAATTTTTGCACAAAAATTTAAAATTATTTGAATTTATCAACCAAAGTTTACATCCACTACCTTAGCTCCGCAAAATTTCTAACATATTCATTAATTTGTTATTTATTTTCCTAGGCTCAAGAGTAACTTTTACAAATCCATATATTTTCAAAGGCTAAGATAGAACCACCCCTTTTACAAAGGATAAGAAATGTAAACAATAAAACCTCACAAGGTAGGTGTTTACGAGAATTAAGCTCACAAGAAAATAATTAAAAGATTTGCAATAAGCCCAAACGCTTATGTACAAGAGAAAAAGAAAATAAAAAGTGGAAGGGTTTCTCTCTTGATCTTTATGCTTGGATAGGTGTTGTAACCTTCCTTGACTTGTTTTTAAAAGTTGGAATGAGCTTGTAGCTATTTCTAGTTGTTAGGGATATTTTGGAATCATTGGGAACTTAATTTTTTATAAAATAAAACTACCTACTACAAGGAGTAATGATACTACCTTTTGGAGTATTAATATTTCCTTTGTTATATTTAAAAATATAGTTGTTAATGACCGTTGGGCTAGACCAACATTGATAGTAGGAATTTGCAATATCAATACTCCTAGAGTATTGTGGAATTTGAAGAACTTTTAAATCAATAGGTAATATCGATACTACCATAGAAATATCGATATCTCTCTTACCTTTGGCATCAGTACTACAAGAACAATATCAATACTATTCATACAATATTGATACTGTAAGAATAATATTGGTACTACTTACCCAGAAAAGTATTTTGTGTTCAAATTCTTATTTTATAGACTTTAAATTACTTTTAAAACCTTTGAACAAATTCAATCAAGTCCAAAAATATTTTTCTCTTAATTTTTATATCAAAATATAGGTTCAACAATATATGTATATCGTATATAGTTATAAAATGGTATTTAAACTATAATCAATTATTACCATAACATAAACACTAACAGTTAAATTTAAACAGAAACTCAAACAACTAGACTTGAAAATTTTTCAAATGAAATTTGAGTTATAAAATAAGATTCATAAGCTCGAATAACTCCAAAAATTATTATTCAACTCAACTCGATCGAATATTCAGCCCTAATAATAAGGGAAAGATGGGCGTTGTGAAAAACAGTGGGGGCGGGCTGTTTTGCATTTCCTGCAGGTCTCCTAATAAGAGAGAGTGTATTTGAAAGTGATTGGGGAACTGCCAGATATGAGTAAATGAGAGGGCACACCAATACAAAATAAGGTAAAAACAAAAGGTCGGTTACTGAAGATTTAGGCTTTACATGTTCGTAAATGCAAGGTCCATTATTTTAGCTGTGAATTTTGGGCAAAAAAGATGGAAAAGGGTGTAGCAGAAGTTAAGACAGCCAAAAAATGTACCTCCTCAAGACACGCCACGGGGATTTATTTGGAACTAATGCCCATTTCTTTGGTTATTTTGAATGCCAAGACTTAACTAATAATCTCAGCGAATCCTAGCTCAAATTATTCCAAGACTAGCACATGTTAAACTCACCTGCAATAGAAAAAAAAGTAATAAAAATACTTGTGATTAGGATTTAGAGTAACTAAACATTCTTCTTTAATACAAATTCCAATCATAAAATATTGAAGCAACAAAGTGTATATATATTGAACTTCATCCCATTTCAAAAATCCATAATTACCATTTCCAAGCGCTCTCAAACAGACTATGGAAATGAAGGTTTCGAGCTCTTTCATGGCTCTCTTTATTCTATTTGGGTTTGTGGTCTCGGTGGCTAGTGGACAGCCCCTTGTTCCTGCCATGTTCATATTCGGGGACTCGGTTGTCGATGCGGGAAACAACAACGTCCTCAAAACTATAATAAAAGCAGACTTTCCTCCGTATGGGAGGGATTTTGTGAATCACAAACCAACCGGAAGATTCTGCAATGGAAAATTAGCCTCAGATTTCACTGGTTTTGCTATCCCATAAAACAACTTTGAATGTCTCTTATTTTTATACTTCTTTCATCCTCTAAATGGCTTTTGTTTTATTGTTTTTAAGCACAGCTGAGAACATTGGCTTCACTGCTTACCCACCAGCTTATCTCAGTGAAGAGGCTAAAAGAAATAACCTGTTGATTGGAGCCAATTTTGCATCAGCTTCTTCTGGTTATTATGAGACTACATCAAATTTATATGTAGGCAAACATGAAACAAAGATCTGTTATTGTTTTTTTTATAGACTTTTGATATCTATCCTTTGCTTTTTTCTTTTTTTTCTTTTTTTTGCAGCATACACTGTCATTGAGTAAGCAACTAGAGAACTACAAGGTGTATCAGAATAAACTGGTGGCCATTGCAGGGAAATCTAATGCTTCTTCAATTATATCGGATGGAATCTACCTTATCAGTTCAGGAAGTAGTGATTTTCTTCAGAACTACTACATTAATCCTCTATTATACAAGTTCTATACACCAGACCAATTCTCAGATATTCTCATCGAATCCTGCGCCAACTTCATGCAGGTTTCTCTTACTTTCTCCTCGATCAAAAGCTAAAATCTGTTATGTAAAAGTTCTCAAAACATGAAAATCCGAAATAATCTAACCCTGAACACTTCCATAGTTGCATGCATTATACGAAAAGTGTTTGAAAACAATTGACACAGAAGAAAAGAAAGCTAAAAAAATAAAAAGCCTCAGGATATGCTTTTATTTGGTAAGTATACAAGTTGGTTTAATTTCAAAAGTTTTGTGACAGAACCTATATGAGCTAGGAGCAAGGAAAATTGGAGTGTCAACGTTGCCACCGTTGGGATGCTTGCCAGCAGCCATAACGGTGTTCGGGGAAGATAGCAACGAGTGTGTGGCTAAGTTAAATAGCAATGCAGTTTATTTCAATAACAAACTCAATGCAACATCTCAAAAGCTACAGAAAAAGTTTTCCGATCTTAAATTGGTTGTCTTTGACATCTACCAACCTCTCTACAACCTTGTCACTAAGCCGTCTGACAATGGTACAACATCGTTTCTTTAGTACTTATTTTTTCTACTTTATTTGAATCTAAAGTTTTCTAGACAAGGCACTGATAATTAAGCGATGATTGAACAGGTTTTGCTGAAGCAAGAAAAGCTTGTTGTGGAACGGGATTACTGGAAACATCAATATTGTGCAATCCCAAATCCATTGGAACCTGTGCAAATGCATCAGAATATGTCTTTTGGGATGGATTTCATCCATCGGAGGCTGCAAACAAGATTTTAGCTGATGACTTGTTGACCAGTGGAATTTCTCTCATTTTCTAATGAAAAAAAAACAATGTTGCTTATGTCATAAAAGGTTTGGTTCAACTTTAATGTTCCTATGTTGTCATTTTCATCTGTTTTTATTACTTGAATCATGAATGGAAAACGAACGGGTTGTAATTAGAACCTGTGAATTTCCATTTGTCTCATAAGTTCTAATTACTATGTAATAATCTAATTCCGTCACACAATAAATGAAATCATATTTCTTTTATTTGGCCCAGTAGGACACTAAAATACCAGATTTCCTTCTCGACTATTAATTTTAGGAATATATAGTGTAAATATATTATGAGGTTTAATGGTTCTGTACCTCATAAAGCATCAGTTAATTGGTTCGAAAGATAAGAAAGGACAACTCAACTATTCTGTTACAATTCACCTCTTCCTGCGCAAGTTAAATGAATGATTCATGGACTTGCAAGTTCGGTTTCCCCAAGAATGATTATTAAGAAGTATCAGATCTGCAACATGAAAATATTACATGCGTGGTCAGTAACGTGACATAACCAGGTTCGCAAAAGCAAAAAGAAAGTGCAAGCAGCAATAACAATGCGCCAAATCAGGTGTCAGTGTCTCACTAGGCACAGCTACCTGATTATGAAAATGTCTACACTGATAAATGGAATTATATAGCCAGACTATTACTCAAGCATATCAAAATACAAGAAAAAATTGCAGAAAGGATGGGGTGCTTACACAGTGTGTTTGTGACAGATACCCAACAATCTACAGATTTTTTCATCAGTAGCGTGTTCCTCAATCATATCCTTCTCGAAAGAATCCTTTAAAGCATTCCACTTGTTTAGGATGCAGGTTATCCTTCTAAGCTGTTGCAAAGGTCAAGGGAACCAAAGATATTGCAAGAATATAAATCTAATATATGAACACAATAAGTTGCCAATTCTCTGATGTTTCTTTCATGGAATTAACAGCTTTGTTGTTTGAAAGTCAAACCAAAGGATACAGCTAGAGTTCGGGCATCCAGTTTTCTGCCAGAGGTGGCCACGCTCTCAAAACCCTTGTTCTCATCAAATTGGTGATCAAAAAGATCATCTTCTATCGCATCAGATTTGCTCAATAGAATAAATACAATTTGACGTAGACTAGAAGTACTCATTTCATCCTCTCGAACTCGAACTAGTAACCTTGCAATAATGCTCCATAGTGCACATCGTGCTCCAGAATCATCAGAAGTAAATGGGAAAATATCGAGCAGTCCTTGCAAGAAAGGGAAATCTGGGTAGCCCCAAGTTGTCAATACAAATTTGTTAACAGTCCAGATCATTTTCATAATTCATAGATAAAGAGAAGCTTCTGTAGATAATAAATATGAACAATATACCCTGTGATATGTTTGAAGCTAGATCAGGTACATCAGACACAATATTTGCAATTAAAACTACTGCAGTCACACAAGAGGTGGAGATCTGAAAGACAAATTAAGAGCGAGTGTTATCATCCAAGAATTGTAAATATGTAAAACTCCAGCCAGAAAATGATGTTCGTCACATGATACAGAATCTTTCACCACGAAGAAAGATTAACATTCCTTAAACTTGGAAAAGTAAGAATGTTAAATTCAATAATACAAAAAAGCTCACCTGATGCAGGCTTTCTATTGCAGTTTATTTCACGATGCTCAAGCAAGAGGTCAGTGGAAATTAACAGGAATGAATATAGACTCTAATTCCCAGATGCAATTTAAGAAATTAATCTTCAAGCACCCAGAAAGAGAACAACAAAAACAATAATTTACAAGTCCAAAGTGTAAATCATAAATCAGTTTTTACGGTTCTAGAAGTGCTGCAAATTACCTCAACTTTATCAGGGAATTTAATCAAATCACAGACTAGTTGGAAAAAATCTTTATTTGAGCAGATTTCCAGAGAATATACATCTATAACGCAGAGGGCTTCAAGTGCACGAAGAATAACATCAAGAACAGGGTACCTGATATTGAAAGAAAACCAAACATCAAGGGATTTAGCATTCCATTATCTAACAACTAAAAAACAGTTTTTGTAGGTAGTCAACTTGTTATCAAATATAACTATTACATCCGAAGAAGAAAATTTTCTATCCCATTTTAATGCATTTGAAGCCATTAGGCAACTTCTCAAAAAATAAAAGAAGCCACCAGACTTGAAAGTTTGCCACCATATAATTCCAGATTCAATGTTGCCTTACATTCAATAACATTTTCTATTCCATCATAAAGTCACAAGCAAACAAAATTCCAAACAAGAGGAAAAATATTTTCTACAGCTCAATCACATTACTAGAAGAATGAAAACTTCAAGCACATAATAAGTTTTTGGCAAATCTCAGCCATGTGGTATCTAGGAGTTTGTTTATTCAGTTTAGTGTCACACGACTACTAGCCAGAACATTATAGATATGTCAATTTGACTGTGATCATGTTAAAACTGCTCTTTGCCGAGGCTTGTGTGACAGTAGAAATCAAACCAGTGCAAGATCAGCTTTATGGGGTGTTTTGTGGGGGGGGGGGGGATATATGCTCATCAAATCAGCCTCCCCAAAACTTTTCAACTGGATGTGTAGTTTTAAAAACTAGAAATATAAAAACACATGGAACATGGGAGAAAAAAACAGAAATAAGAAACGCTTGTAAATAGTCCAAAACAAGTGTCATTCCAAACTAAATTTCAACCCTTTCGATGCAGATAAGATAGAATTGTACCTGTCAGGCATTTTGTCATTCTTCAGTTTGCTCATCTCAAAAGCTAAAAGATTCACTAGTATACTAGCTAAACCAAGTTTCATCAAACGTGAGAGAAGAGTATGCTCAACTTCATTCTGACTTTCTAACATTGATAATAGTAGTCCAACACTCTGTTAGAAAAGCCTTCTTTAGATTCCATCACCAAAAAAACATAAAAAGAAGTAACAAATCCGGAAATGGTATATAAATGTGTCATAGTAGATATGCTTAGCAAACTTGACCCTCTTCATTGTCAACCATAAGGGCATTATTAATGACTCCACGAGCTGCTAAATTAAGCAGCAACAAGATCAAAAATATCCAATAATTCAATGTTCTCTTTTATGAGCATACAGTAAATCCAACTATTCTCTAGCAAGTATGTACTTTAACATCCTCATATATCCACCCTTTACTGAATGAAAACTATGAAACATATATATTAGTCACTCATGGTTGCTACAGAAAAGAATTCTTCAAAATCTCAAACCAGCTTTTTGAAACCAGCCATAATGTTAACGGTATTGACATGTCCCCTGTACATGTGCAAGTTCTAAAGAGTTACTGGAACTCTACATAAGACAAATTGTAGATGTTGGCATCACCTTTTCAATAAGCTGAGGATTTAATGTATTTTCCATGATCCATAGAATGCGGCTTAAAATGTGGTCAGGCTGCAATGCCTCTGCCCATTTTATGCATTCACGACCTTGGAGACCATAACTTAACAGCCTGCCGCAGAGTATGGTCCATAAGAGAGGCACAGAACCAAAACAGTAATAGCTAAATAACTAGACATGCATGTGATTAAGATGAGCAACTGAAGAACATATTACATTATGTCAATTGGATTCAGGCAGGAGTAATAATTTGACAGGAATGAGGAAACGATGAAACGTATAATACAAAAATTGAAATGAAGCAACATATAAGAAGAAACCGTGCTATCAAGGCCCCAACACACAAGAAGGTGAAATTCAGAAGGTGTATAGTTAAATCTATTACTTCATCTAAAATCTAAAAGGCATTATTTAGTTCCTGATGAATCAGTTTCACAAGCATCGTAGTTTCCATTCATTTCGACCATCCATTTTTCAGCAGTACAAATTCTTAAGTCTCCAAAATCCTTATCCTGCATGTACTTGTAGGCAGTGTTGTCAAGGCATGCACCTAGGCGCTGTGCCTTGGTGCCAAACAATGAGAGTGACTCAAACCTTTCCGGGTATGGCACATTTGATCATGCAGTGTACCCAGGCACATTCTTTTTTAGACAATAGACATAAAAAACCCATCTGACTGAAATTCTTTTTAATTTCGGTTACTTTTAACTTTTTTTCATATCATGCCCTTACTACTAAAAAGAGAACATCAAATTCTCTAATTCTCTATATGAGTGCTCAACAACAGACATGGATCATAAATCATGCATAGTGGCCAACAAATGAAAACTAGAGTTTTTGCATGTCTTGTAGATATAAGGAACCATTACTTCTAGTTTATTACCGTAACTATATGTTTTAAACTTATTTTACATATATACACAGAGACACCCACACATATTGCAGCTTACTTCATCAGACAAATGCCTTTTCAGCATCTTGCAAGCAATATATGGGTTCTAGTACCTAGAGTGTGCCTTAAGTCCCTGACAATACTGCCTGAAGGATGTGGTACTTTCATTTTAGACAAACACTTAAATAATCTTGTATCCTTCTCTAGGCATTTAATATGCTAATTACTTTACAGAGAAAATTGACCAGAAAAGGGAAATTTGAATATGTGGAAGAGTAAATTTTAATGTCTTCTGACGTAAATTCTTGTGACTGAGCATATAGTTAAGTAGTTATATAAAACAAAGAGCGCCATAACAACAGTGTTGAATAACCATGGCCTCCAGAATCTATAAAACATAGGCACAAAGGTCTGGACAGCATAGCAAACACAACAAATTCTAATGTTCAGTATGTAAACATAATATATGATTAACAAGATATTTACCGGAAAGCTTCACATAGACATTGGGTGTCATCTAAAAATAACTGATTTACCATCACAGAAATTAATCCATTTGTAGAAACTATATGCTTCATGGGAACTTCATGGCAAGCTAAATTTCCCAAGATTCCAAGACAAATCTCCTGATACAAAGAAAGAAGGATGTATAATAAACCTCAAGCATGATACATCAAAGTCTCTAAGAACCACCTAGTGACCGACTAAATAATCACAATAGGAAATTAAAAAAAGGGAGAGAATTTGTAACTTACAGTTACACGAACAGATTGGGTAACCATAAGGTTTGCTAAAAGAACATCAAGTACAAAGTTTTGCACCTGCATAGATATCACTGAGTGAGCCTATAGCAAATAATACAATGAGTAAAACTAAAAACTACTGCATTGCAGTCGAACAACATGTTCCCCTATTATTTTCAGTAAATAATCTGTCCTAATCTATGGTTTTCAGCCACCTAATCTTTATACTTCACTTTTATATGACTAATCTCCTGAAATCATCAACAATTAATTAATGTGTACGATTACTTATAAGACAATAAAGGCATATTAATAGTACCATAAGCTCGGAATGAGTTTGGTTTGCAGCAAGATCCCAAAGAACACAACCGCATTCCTCCCAAACCTCTTCCCCTGCTGATAAATGAGCAGTTCCCCCATCGCGCAAATCCCCATCGCCTTCCCCTCGAAAATCAGATTTCGTAGAATCATCAACAACCTCCCTGCTTTCACAACTATCATTTGACGAATTTACAACTTCATCAATACAATTTGATCCCCGAATTTCAGTATTACCACCGCTTCTCGGTTCAACTGGAAGAAGTTTCCTTATCAATGAAATTACGTAACTCGGATCAACTGCTGTGGAAATATCAAATAACTAAACAAAAGGGGGGAAATCTTAGCTTCAAAATTACAGGCATATTTTCAAAATTAAATTAAATAAAAAAAATAAGCTTATTCAAATTTAGAACACAAAAAAGATGAGCGAAGTGAAATCATAGCTGTTGATTAGCAACCTCATCCGGCGGTGCGGAAGGGTGATGCGAAGGGACAAAACGGTCTTTTTCGAGTTGGTCTTGTTCTTCTTCTTCTTCTTCTTCTCTCCTTGGAGCAGAATTTGATGCCTCCATTTGCTTTGGCTCTTTCGAGAAAACACAATGTTTACAGTATTTGATACTTTGATTTCCCTCTCTTTTGTTCTTTTTATTGGCTACTGAATTCTCCCCAGTTTCACGAAAAGTGCATTTTTAGGGTAAATTACTTAATTCATCACTCAAACTGAGTGACCAAAAAAGGAGTGAGAAGAAAGCTGAGTTCTGGATTAAGGGATTTACTCTTTTTGTTATAAACCAAAGAAATAAAGCAGGTAAAAAATGATAGACTACACCATTGGTCATCTTACTATTATCTCTCTCCCATTTTGGTCACAATAGTATTTTTTCTGCATAATTGGTCACTAACTCTTAGCGGTGAGCAGTCGATCGAGTCGATTCGGGTCAAAAAATTCAAATTATTTGAGTTAATGAGTCATATTTTATGACTCAAACTTTATTTGAATTTTTTTCGAGTCAAGTTGATTTTTTGAGTTTCTATACAAATTAAATCATAATTATTTATAGCATTATGGTACGAATTGATTTCAATTTATCGACTTTCTCTAACCATATAAGATATATATATATATATATATTTCTTCATATTCCTTTTCAGATTGCAATGTTATTTAATAAATCAAATACAACCTAAAATTATAAAATATATTTATAGTATTGTTTTTCAAATAATATATTTTAAGAATAAAGTATTGATAGGAGTATAAATAAGTGAAGGGATTGATGAAAAGAAAGAATTTGTAAAAATTATAATTAAAAGACCAAATTGAATAAAATGTAAAGTTAAGGGTTTAAATTGAAAAAGAGTAAATTCTTAATTAAAAATAGGAATTGGAGTTGTATAGGTATTATGTACTGGTAGAAGAATATGGGGTTAAACATTGATCAAAATGAACTTAAAATGAAAGATGAATTGAAGAAATAAGAAATTCATGTAAAGTTAATGGACTAAATTGAAAAAAAAAATTGTAATAAAAAGGGGAATTGAAGATACTGGTGTTCTAAAATGGTTAAGGTTCAAATTTGGTAAAAAAATTGGACTTAAAATGAAGAAGAAATTGAAATAATAAGGAAATCAAAGACAAAATTGCAAAATTGTCAAAATACTGGACTAAATTTTTGGTTTTTCGGATAACTCAAAATTTTTAAATTTCAACTCGACTTGAACTAAAAAACCAAATCGATAATTTGAGTTGACTCGAACAACTCAAAATTAAAAAAATAAATAGACTTTTTTAGTTGAGTCGAGTTTTGCTCACCCCTACTAACGTTATATTTTTTCACTTCAATTATATGTCGATAAATGTTTAACGAAGAAGACGATGTGTCTTGATATGATAGTTTTTACGATTTTGAGTAAATTACTTTTTCACTTCGATTATATGTCGATAAATGTTTAACGAAGAAGACGATGTGTCTTGATATGATAGTTTTTACGTTTTTGAGTAAATTACACGTTGTCTCAATGAATTTTATTCTCTCTCCTATTTTACTCACTATACTTTCAATTTTTTTAATTTACTCACTGAACTTTAGACATTGAACTTTTTCGGTCATTGGACCGTCTACTCAGTAATAGGGTGCTGATGTGGCTTATTTTAATAATAAAACATGTAACTGTTTACTCATTGAACTTTAGACGATTCGCGTGAGTGTGTTTGGAAATGGATTTTGGGAAACCTCTAGTGCTGAAGATTGAGGTGGATGGTCGATGGTACCAGATTGAATATGAAGGAATACCGCTGATTTGTTTTAAGTGTGGAATGTTTGGCCACAAGGATTGTTCATTCATCTATGCTCCTTGGAGTAAAGAAGCAGTTCAGGTGGACGATGCACCGACTAACAACACTGGAGGGAAGGTGGTGAAACGGCTGGTAAGGATGTTTCTCCGGCAGCCACTGATGAAGTCGTACCATCAGATTTCGGTCCATGGATGGTTTCCCAGTGGTGTAAATCGAGGAGAAATTTTAGGCAACAAGGGGAAGATAACGGGAAAGTGCTTAATCTTGGGAAAAATAATGGGGGATCCAAATTCTCTCCATTAATGGATATCTCTAATGGGAAGGAACCAAATCAATCTGAATTGAATGCTCAGGATTATGCTCCCTATTAGCAAGGTGAATATTTAATTAACGAGGCAAGTCTTACATGGCATGAGAGAAAATCACGCTATTGGAAAAACCAAGCCCCCTCAAAGTTACCAAAAGTTAACATTTAAAGCAAATGGCCCCACTACGTCAGCTACCTTAGCCATGCATGCAACTACTTCAAATGTGAGCATTGAAAATCTAGGTATTGCTAAGGCAGTTGGCAGAGATCCCCGAAATCCAATTTCTGATGGTGATGAAATAATGGTGGAACTGTTGAATGTTGGGTCTGTTGTCGAGGATACTAGAAATTTAGAGCCAGTCGAAGCGCATCCTATAACCCCCAAACCGATACGGGTAACCTGATCTGATATGGGTTGTCACATTAGGGCCACCGAAGCGACCCACTGTAAAAATAACGGAAATTTTAAAACTTTTCTTAAAACTTGTAAACTCATAAAATCATTTATGAGTACAAAATAAAAGTTATCAATATTCGAAATAAAACAAATTTTCCGACTCGTATATAAAACAAAATACAATTACATGCCCTCTAATCACAGGTACCATACTCTGCAAGCAACACCGGAAGATCTTCCTTACTGATGTCGATAGATACACTGGTACGATTCTTTTAACCTGAAAATGTGAGTAACAGAGTGAGCTTTGGAAATCTCAGTAATACAAAACTATCATATGATGCTGAAGAACGTGCATATACAGATAAACATATATTCCCTTATTGGTTCAGATATCTACAGATTTCTTTAGCTGAGCTGAGGTCCCATTGATATTTCAAGTATTAACAGATAATATTCAGTTCTGATGGAAAATATTTGGGATGTTTAGGTTCAGGAGATCAGAATAGGTTTTCTAGTGTGTTCCCAAAAATCATGTAACTTTTCAGATCTTTTTAAAACATATATATATATATATATATATATATATATATATATATATATATATATATATATATATATATCCCTATCCGTAAAGTCCAAAATGTGTAGGTTCCCCAGAACCATATATCCACCGTCAAGTCCAGTAAGGCCATGAGCACACAGCCGATGAGCCTCCAGGTATACTTCCTCCAACATTACCCCAAGTAAAATATGTCCGTCCGTAAACGGATATATCAAAAATCAAAACATAAATCAGGTCAAGTATCATATCAAAATCTAGATCAAGTATCAGATCAGAATCCAAGTCAAGTATCATATCAGAATCCATGTCAGATATCATATCAGAATCCATGTCAAGTATCAGATTAGAATTCAAATCGAAAATCAGATAAAATATTCATATGAGTAGGGAACACACCAGAGTTTATGAATATTATTTAGAGATACTGGATAATCTTATCGGGTAGAGAAATACGAATCTTCAGTTTACCAATAGAATGTCGGAAGTTAGAATCACTATTTGAAAAGTTCATTAATTGACAGAATCATCAGTTATTCATGATATGATTTATCGGGATCATCTTATTCGGACACTTTTCTGAAGCTCTAAGAAATCTGAAGGTATTCAGAATCTTTACAATCTATGACGATTAATCCGATTATCGAACAACTCCAGATGAATAGCTCCCATAACCAATACTTATCAACTTGTCAATTCATTAACCTTCCATGGTATTTACTCTTTAATACAAATATTCTTATCCATAGATCATATTCTGAGTCATCACTGAATAGATCTTAAGGAGAAACAAATATTCTAATGGTCTTTATTTCATTTCCATGTTTCAAGTATACCAGGAAATGCTGACGTACTTGATTTATGGTTCATAATTCATAGGGACGATACATCATATAAGTTCATCCGAGTTTCCAAACTTATTCCAATCTCTTACTTAATCCTCGGTCTTTGAGTTACTTAGTTCATTTAGCAGTCAAGTCCTTTACAGTTACTTCAGGGTTTTCCATAGTAATTCAGACTTCTGAATTTCAGATACATATTGTACTTTCGTTCAATTCAATTTGGTAGTCGTAGTTGATTTGTCTAATGAATATTCACTTTTTAATATTGAATGTGATCTAGAGTTTAGATGAGTTGAATACTTTCAAAATTATCATCAAGCCACACTTGTGAACATGAACACACATTCAAGTAATATTTATGTCGTCCAGGTGCTGACATATCATTACGATTGATCAACTCACTTAAGCTGTGTTCCATAACTTTTAAAGGTAGTCCAACACCTATGCTTATTTGGATTACTAAATTAATCCAAGACATTTACTTATTCTAGGTCATAAGGGTATTTTGGTCATTTTGATGCTCAGTCTTATTCCATTCATTTCAGAGCTCGAGGATATCCAATCATTCCTGAGCTTGGTGATATTCTTGGGTCATTTTTATTGCAGGGGTATTTTTGTCATTTTATAGATCTACGGTATTTCAATCTTTTCCCTCCATCCGATCTTATTATTTAATTCCAATTTATCATCTATTCCATTCCCTTCAAACAATTCTGATAAAAGAGCACCCTCTGATAAATTGTTCTTCAGGTATTTACTCATAACTTAGATATTTTCAGGTCAAGTGTTTTCTTAGATTTTTGCCAACGGAATATCAATAAATTTTTTGCTCTAAGTCATGATCTTAACAATCAATTTCGTACTTAATCGAGTTAAGTACAAGTCCTCAAAGTACTTTCTCATTCAGGGTCAACTCGAACTATTTTACCTCTCAATGGCATTTTCTTAATTTCTTAACCAAATAATTTCGATATTAGCTCTTAACGAAAATAATTATAATTTAAAGATCCTATGATCAATTGCTTTCCCGAACATTCTCTGATCTTGAAATTATTCCTTAACACACTTCTAGCATCTTGCGCAAACCCTTTTTGGCGTTAAAAACCAGTTATCCAAATTTTCTAAACAAAACTATTATTTCTTATGCACATTTGTAATTATATCGGATCAATATGTCTTTTCAGAGTTATTAACCAA